ACCTCATAGTGGCAGCCACATTGGAAAGCACTAGAAACTGGGGTGGGTTAAGTGTAGTCAAAATGTCTGCCAGTTTTTTGTATTATTAAGGTAAGGGTTAGAGAAACACATTACTTATTGTAGTTGTGATACCTTCAGTGGTCGGGAGTGAAAATAGTATATTTCCTTCATGTTTTGTCAGCTTTCACATGAAAAATAAATCACATTACTTTAGACCACATAGAAATGAAAGCCACAGCACAACAACTTAAAGATAAAAAAATAAAAGCATGCCGCTTTTTGGGGGGGCTTTTTAGTTGTTTTAATTGCACTTGTTGCAGTGAAAAATATGCATCCTTACTCAGAGTGGGCTTGCATCTCCACAAAACTGACTCTTATTTGACCTGGAGGAGGGCCTCCTCCTGCTTGTTTTGATTGAAATGTTCACCTCCACAGTATGGATAAAACATGTCTTCATGGACAATGTTCCAAAACATGGGTTTCATTTTCTGTTCTCATGGAATGGAAATAAACATACAGAGGGGGTTAGTAATATAGTATAGTAAAAGTAGCAATAGTAGCAGTAGCAAAAGAAGGTACTTGTAATTGGTCAGCACATATGTTTTTATTGTGTACCTTTGTTTGACATAGTTTGACTTATACCAGACAGATGGCGGAAATAAGACTTACAATCAAATAAACTTTCTACATGTAAGGCTATTTTTTGTATATCTAACAGTTTAAAGTAAAACATAATTGATTTTTCTCCTACTACTTCTTTATCCCCAGGAAGCCTGTTACTCAGTAATGTACATTCTTCAGACCTAATAGCCTTTATCGTGTTAGTGATAGAGTGCTCCCTGTCATGGCTGCTGTCATGTCTAGTCTCTCACCTCCTCACCAGGGGCTCCGAGATGGACTGGGTATCGTCGCACACTATCTCTTCACACTCATATGTCATGGCACCATTGTGGAGGCTGGCTGCTTCATGTGGTTACAGTATGTGTCTGTTTCACTAGGCCAATAGGATGTAATGGATAGATAGTGAGCTACAGTGTAAATGCATCTTTCTGCTCTACCAAAGTTATTTTTCATTACAGGTGAAGAACATGTCAAAACATTGCTGTGGATTGTTTTTTACCTTTACTCAGTGTTTAGATAATGTCTATAACTAATACTGAAGAAATGGTAATGTTTGAAAAAAAATCCAGACACAAATTTTCTCATTTTAGTGCTGATTGATTATGAAAAAAATCTTAATCACAATTATCTGACTTATAGTATTTAAAAAAATATCTACACAAATGATTGATCTAACTAGTACCGTTTTGTTGTCCACTATTTATTAGAAAAGTGGCTTTGCTCCAGGTTTTTAGGGGCAAAGTGAGCGCTCATTTTAGGTGTTAATTAATAGCTTTTTGACTACAACATTTTTGTAATTGGATAGAGTAATAATTGAAATGACAATTGCAAATGTTATTACAGCCTTATCTCAAGTTAGTAGTAAACAGTAAACTACATTAGAAGTAGTTTTTTGGTTTGTTTTGACTCTATTTCACTGGGTGTACTTCTCCATCTCAGGCTGAATGTACTCTCCCAGTTCACCACCATCAATCAAACAGACAGTAATTTAGTTTAGTTTAGACTATTTGGTTTGCATCCCAGACAGTATGCAGACAGAGTATACAACCCTATCACAGTGTTTTGTTTTTTTTTGTTTTTTTTTTAACACTGTAGCAGTGTCGGCTAGACCTCCAATGCAGTATAAGCTGTATATATAGACATGTGCTGTTAATCTTAGAATGAAAAGTGTGCCATGTGTGCTTTGTCAAGAGGACATATACAAAGTGAAATCCTCCTAGTCGTTTACAAAGAAGCATTGAAAACGATAGGGACAATGGCAAGAAATGACCTGTAATAGATCTTTGTGTAGTGTATTCAGTACTCTCTCTTCACATTTAGAAGGTTAGGTTTGGTTAGGTTTAGTCCATCCTGCTGTCAGAACATCTCTCAAAAGGATTTAGCACAATGCCAGGCCAGTATGAGGCTAACCTGTTCCTTCTATGTCACTTTGTATAATGGAAAAAAGGTTGAAAAAGCCATACATCAACATTGACAAAATGACGCATTACTCCTTACGCTATACACTTTCTCTTTTCTTCACCCTCCCTTGAATTCATCAGGGTTCCCTTCAAAATGGCTGGCACCTCCTGGCGCTTGTCGAGCTTGTCACCCTTCGTCTGCAGTGTGACCTTGAGACACAGATGAAGGAGTGAGGGTGCTCTTATAACTGCTGCAATGAAAACCAAGCTAAAAAGAGACAAAATGTAAAGAAATAGCAACAGTAATTCGGCTTGCACTGACAACTGCACAGAGAAAAAGGGTGGGGCGGTGCATATCCACATCAATCAATGGGATTAGGGTGCCTCTTGCTGGTTCTTTTATTTTTCCCCATTAAAGTTGAAAGTGCTGATGTAATAGGGGAGATGCAGCCTAGCCTACATTCAAGAGAGAAAGACCTTCACCAACTTGGAACAAAATGTCAAATCCCTTTCAAATGAATCAACATCGTATCATGTGACAGTGCTGAAATTTCAAACGACATTTTGAAAAATTTTATATGAAAATAACTTGATACTCGATAGATGTTTCTATTCCACAATAATGATTAAAAAAAATTTATGTTTTCTTGTCAAATGAATGTCATTTTGAACATGAAATGAAGATGATTTTAATATTCAAGAAAGATGTCCTATTTATGTGTTGTTTTTTCCCCAGTATCAATAAGTGTTAAAATAAGTATCTAGTTTCAAGTTTTAATATCTGAGTGATGTTTTGTTTTGTTTTTCTCAGTGGAGATAGATAAGTTTAATACCATGGAGCATTTCTGGCAAAACAAAAAGCAAACCCTTTACCTGTAGATCTGCTTACATGTCACCTGCATGATTCCATGGACATAGAAAGTTAAAACCATATTTCAGAGCTTTCTTTCTCTTTTCTTGAGATAATAAACAATAAAAGTTACTCAGAGGGTAACATGTGATCCTCTGCCTTCTCTGGGGGCACATCCACTGGGGTCACATGACTCATCAATAGTCCATTGGTCCATGTTCTGCTGTAAGACGGACACTGACAGCAAGTGACGCAAGGATTCTTAATCAGATTAGAAGACTATGGAGGGATACAGTGGATGGCAATCATCCTGGTCATGCCTAAATTAATGAGCTGGACTCCTTTGTTGTGGCAGCTTCTGAATGACTCTCTTGGCCACGGTTAATGTTCAGAAAGACTACAGGCAAAAATAGATGCATATTTAAGAGTATATAAGATATATACAAATATAAGTTAACATTTTACACCATTAGTTGTATGTGTTGTTTTATAGGACAATTAATAGGAACATAATGCATTACCTACCTACTACTAATAGGTGCATTATTACATACATTTTATCATTATATTATCAAAAAATCTGATAATTGATTGGATCATTGATTTAATATAGGTTTGGTTTGTTGACAAAAACTAGACTGCAAGAAGTACATTAAATTTTTCATTGTACATCCCCAAATCATAGTTCAAGCAATACATTGAAAATGTAAGTGAAAAAAAAGTTATTTTAGGCCCCCCCTTCAAGTTGTGCAACTGAATTATCTCGGTGACCTTGAGTTCTTTGAGTGGAGTTTTTACGAAAGTGAGCATTTGTTGTCTCCGTCCTACTTTGGACACAGCTGTCATGTTTTGCTCCAGCCACCTGAGCCTTGCCCATGCCTGTTCGCTGGCAGTTGAGTGAGCCAGCACAAACCTCTCCACTGCTTCACACCAATCCAAATGGAGTAGCACTTGGCCCATCAGGTATCACCTCCTCACGTATGCCCCACTATTTCATTATCACCTGTGTCTGCTGTAGTTCTTCTACAGGAATGTCATAAATTCTTGCAAAGACAGAGCTTTAAAAAGTAGTAGTTTTAATTAACAAATTATTTAGGTTGGGCATGCCCATGACAGCCAGGTCTGGTGGTACATATATGTGGGAATATCTGGCCAATGCTATTTGCATACAAATTGCCCAGCTGGTACCTTGTTGTTATGACAACGGCCCACAGCTCTCAGAATTCATTTGGTGTGAAATACAAAAGGATAGCTGTCAGTGTCATTGATAAAACATGTTGTTGCTCTGTAATAAGACTTTTACGAAAGTGGCACTCAGTTTTATTGTAATCATTGCCAACTGCTGAAAGCAGTGTATTAAGATAATCCATATGTCTCCTGTCAGGGGTCACATCTGTGGGCCAAAGCCTTTCCCAGCTGCTATGACTGTAAGGTGTGGTATATATCAAATAAATACACTATTATGTCTCAGAACTCAGAACACATAAGGGAATAATACAAAATACACAATATACTTCAAAACAAACTTTTACGTAATTTATAATTGTATATAATCAATGTCTGCAAATTAAATATGTAATCTTTTAATTTTTTGGGTATGCAAATCTTTTATTTCAGCATCATTTAAATAATATTAATTGCATACTGTTCTATTCCCCACTGACATTCTTCTGGTAATAACTGAACATTCATCATCACACGATTTGTCATGTTTTCGTCAGGAAACCTCTATAGTACAGTTGCACACTTGCTACATTGACACCAGCTTTTCCCTAAACTCATCCCTGTCAAATCCTCTCTGAGCTCACAGCTAAAATGTAAACTCTTCTGACGGCACAGTGTCCTCTACTGGCCACATGAGGCACAGAGCTTTCCCTCATGAACATCCGCTTCCAAAGTCTATACCACAGTATTTAGCTCAAGGGCAAGTGTGTTGTTTTTGCAATTGTCATCCTAGCTCAGCACATAGTAGTTATTAATTATATGGGTATTCCTAGACCTCTTGACCCTCCAGTTTAATATTTAGCTTCAGTGTGTGGTTGTCAGACTAATTACTTCACCTCTTAAGTGAGAAGTACAGGCACACTTTGGTTCCCACATGCCTATGTGATCTTGTACACATTAAACAGCCAGTCCCCATTCATACAGCTGTTACAGATTGATAGAGACAACTAGTACAAACCACTTTAGTCTGGATTTAAAAGCCTGGTATCAGCATCAACTGCACAGTGGGGAGTGTGTATGTGTTTATGTGTTGAGTTGCACCCTTTACCTCGGGGTGGGAGCAGAGGGAAGGTGACACGTCTCCTGAATATAAATGTGAGAGAAGTTATGCTCCGAGCGATGACAGTGTGCACCATACTCGCCCAGGAACGTGCAACCTTTTCCCAAGGTCACAGCACGCCGCCGGGCCCGGATCTCTACCAGAGCAGCAGCAACACCCCGCTCATTTGTCACTCGCCATCCAATTTAACATGGCAACTCGATGGGGACTGTGCGGTGCAGGGAAGATCAGCCACGACTTCAGCGTGGCCATGAAGACCCTACCTCCCGGAGACCACCAGGTATTGTTCACAAATTGGGCAAGAAAAAAAAAATCATAAATGGGCATGAATCTCATATATTAAGATTCATCCAGTGGGTAAAAAGCCAATAATATCAATAAGATGATAAGACCATGCAAGATTATTACAACATGTGAACCTGAAGATATAAGATAATGAAGATATAGCTTTGAAAGTACGTAATCTTGTACCAAATGCATTTTCCACTAAGTTTACAAAGTTGACTGCAGGAATTGCCATTATTTCACAACAAAACAAATTAAATAAAAATCACATTACATATTTTTATGAATACATGTTTTTCTACAGATAGCAGTTGTTGCCTCAAGAAGCCTACGGCGTGCCCAAGAATTTGCAAAGAAACATGGCATTCCAAAAGCTTATGGCAGCTACGAGGAGTTGGCCAATGATCCAGACATTGGTGAGTTTATACATATGTCTTTGTATTGTAAAGATGATTACCTATCTTCCTCCCACAGACATTGTTTACATAGGAGTTCTTCATACACAGCACTGGAAGGTTGGTCTTCTCTTTCTCAAAGCCGGCAAAAATGTGCTGTGTGAGAAACCCTTTGCAATGAACAGCAGACAAGTACAAGACCTGGTCGTAGAAGCTAAACGAAGCAATGTGTTTCTTATGGAGGTGAGAGCGTCAGTGACTAATTGCTAATCTTTTTTGTATTCCTCCATATTCTGCTTAGTCATTTGCATGTTACATAACTAAATAAGGCACCACCTATTATTAACACAGCTTTTCTTTCTGTTTCCCACCATATAAACATAGTATAAGTAGACTGCTGTGAGTTAATCTCCATCCCAAGTCAGTTTCATTATAACACTTAAAGCTCTTGATTTGCCTCAGAGAGTTAATTGACCCTCAAGGTAGGGGATTATGATTGATGTATTATGTATATAATTTCCACATTTAATTGAACTGCTATTGAATGTACTCATACAGAGCTCTAAGTTTTATGACATAATTCATAATATATGAAATATGTATTAGCAACAATCCATGGAGTTCAGAATAATGAAAAATGATGACAGTTTCCATAGCATTTAACAATATGAAACAACATTTTTTTCTCTTGAATGGTAGGAAGTCCTCAAAATATTGCCTATAATAGGAAGCTGAAACCCTTAAATATATGGCTTGATGTTTTACTTTTTTTATGATTACATTATTTGAGGGAGCCTTGTATTTTCACTTATAAAATCTAAATGAGTACCAATCCACTTTGTGTGTCTTTGTACAGGCTATATGGTCCCGTTGTTTCCCCGTGCATGCTGAGGTGCGCAGGCTGCTGGCAGAGAAGGTGGTCGGGGAGGTGAAGCTGGTCAAAGCCTACTTCGGCTCCCCTCAGCTGCACATCCCCCGGTCGGTGGAGAAGGAGCTGGGGGGAGGAGCTCTGCTGGACATCGGAGTGTACTGTCTGCAGTTTGTCCTAATGGTGTTCAGAGGAGAGAAGCCATTGTCCATACAGGCCAGTGGTGTGCTGCTAGACTCAGGTAAAATGCAAATAGATCCAGAGAAACAACAGATCCTAAAGCCAGCAAGGCTCAAAATAATAATTAAAAAATGCTAATAAAATTGAAATATTAATTTCTACATTAAGCATTTTCTTTAAAGTTGCACTATGTAACTTTTCTTCTGGAGGCCACCTGAAGCTTTGTCTGGAATGTTTCATAGCAAGGCTATGGCGTTAAACTCATCTATGTTGCATTTATAGAATTATATAATAGTGGATTAATAGCTAAACATGCATTCTAACTGTAAACTAAGTCACCTATCCACAGATTTGATCTGTAACTTGCTCTGATGACATTACCTGTATGTTTCCATGGAGTTAAATGCCATATTGTGGAACATTATTCTTGGTACAGTGTATGTTTAAATACAGGCACTCTGATTTAACTTGAACTGTAATAGTAATATTAGTAAAAGTGATAATTATATTTCATTTAATTTAGTTTCATTTACATAAAGAAAACTGAAAGTGACAAGGTTAAAACACTTAGTAATGAAAATTATGTTCTTGTAGGCGTGGATGAATCGGTGGTAGTTGTACTGAAGTTTTCCGGGAACAGAATGGCCTTTTGCGCCTTTTCAATTTCTGCCTGTCTTCCAAATGATGCTGTTATCTGTGGCACCGAGGGCTCCATTAAAGTAAGCCAAGCAGGGATGTTTCAATTCTTTAACCAAGGACTGAGACATGCAGTGACTGGGGAGACTGCTAATTATTTTCACTTTTAATTAAAATGACACATTCAGACCAAGAACCACAAAGACGTTCTGATATCACGTAGATATTATGCAGATTATCTTCTTCAAGAGCATTTAATTTGCATGTTAATTTGAAACACAACATTTTTCACAGGTCCTTGGCCCTATGCACTGTCCTACCACACTGGTGGTCAATGACAAACAGACTGATTATCCTCTGCCTGAGCCCTGCCTGCCCATGAATTTCACCAACAGCACTGGGCTACGCTATGAGGCACAGGAAGTCAGAGAGTGTCTCCTTAAAGGTACACCAGTGCAAGTTAATATCTATTAGCAGGAAAAAACATGTTTATACAGTCTAAATAAAATGCATTTAAATGGAAAAAAAATGCACTGACATCTATAGGGCTGTAGTCCCTCATTTGTTTAGTCAGTCAATTGGTTGATGATTAGGTAGGCAATCAAAGTTTTTGTTGGTCAAATGATTTTATGGAGTGAGCTAATTGAAGATGTGAGAGTTTAATTAGCCTTTACTGTTACTCTCTTGTGCAGCAGTATTCTTTTAAGTACAGTTTGGATTAGATACATTGTCAGATCAGAGAAATACTGAACAGTTCTGAGACTTTTTACACTTAACATACTGATTGCATTTTGTAATATTTTCTTTCTTAAATGTATTTACACAATCTCTCCTCCGCCGTGCTCTAATGTATGCACTATTTGATTATGCACAGATATCCTCCTGGATCAATGCATTCGTACTGTGACCACACTAATACTGCTCTTCATTCACAGGACTAAAGGAGAGCCCATTGATGCCACTGGCAGAGTCTGTTCTACTAACGGAGATCATGGATGAAATCAGGAAGCAGGTGGGAGTTGTCTTCAGTCAGGACAACCAATGACAGCAAAGTGGAGCCAAGCTGTTTCACCTGATTTAAAACCACTTAAATGGGACAGATTGGGCACAGTTTAAATATTTGGTTTAAGCAGATGAGAGACAAAGCTCAATGTGTGAGCCATCTGCACAATGAATGAAACTGAGCAGAATAATTTACATGCAACCCTGTAAATTGTAGTTATGTTTTTTCTTTGGTAGAAAGTGAAACTCATTTAATCAGTAGTAGCAAAGTGAATCATTTGATGACTGAATGTGCTTTTTTGACGCTAATACAGTATACCTATATAATAAACCAACTGAAATCATTAGGCTGTATATAAGGATCACAGTGACAAAATAGTCACACACTTTCAAAAATCTCCAGCTACACTATATTAAGGTACATGTATGGAAAATAGGCTTGCTAATTTTACAAAATGAATTATTACATTACTTAATTTGAATTGTAAACACAGGAAATTACAGTTACTTGACGTAAAGTTCTATGGTGTGGTCACCTCTCGCTGGGTTGGCACCAGAGAGAGGTCATCAATAGCGAAGTGACGCGAACAACTGTCAGCAGCTATGTGCTTGATGAAGCCAATAAAACAATAGTAACCAACGGAGTCCGTGTTTTATTTCTGAAATAATTTCGTGTTGAAAAGGCTAAATGTGACGTGACATGCCACTTCAGGTTACAAATTTGATCTGGAGAGCCGTTTCCACTGTCGTAGAGTGTCTCATAATGTATGGACAGGTGGGGATGCCGTTTCTTAAAGAACAAAACTACGTCTTATAAAAGACGTAATGCCACACTTAATATTACTATATGATTAATCGCAACAAACGGGCTACGACGACTCCAATGGTTACGACTGGAAGGAATTACAAATAATGATTTGTCTCCCTCTTTTGGTAATATGGGAATGCAACACATGTTCTCAAGATTTTTTGCGAGGCTACAGAACGAGGTTAATCCACTGTCACGCCTCGTGGCGTACTCTATGCTCTGTTTTATACTCAAAGTTGAGGGATTTATTTGCTGGTGATACACTGCATTGTAATTATATCGACTGTAGGCAACTTGCAAAGAGGATTTCCCCGTTCTTTTTATCACAGTGCGGTGATATACGTGAACACTAGACTTAGTCCAAAGGCACGGCGCGCATCGGCAGCGCGCACGCATTGTCACGTCACATTAAAGAACCTATTATAGAACACAGTTCTACTCATGCCACACAGGTGACAGCAATGGCAACGAAGTGGGGTATCTGCAGCGCAGGGAAGATCTCTCATGACTTCACAGTGGCCCTAAAAACCCTCCCTCCTGAAGACCACCAGGTAGGCCTTGTAAATGTAGCAGCGTAGCATCAAGTATACCCACAAGTGTGCCTCTTGTGTCAAACTGCCTACTTGTTTTTAGACTAAGTCGAATGTGTCATAATAACCTTAGACCGTATATATCTATTATACAGTCTATGGCAGGGGTCGGCAACCCGCGGCTCCGGAGCCGCATGTGGCTCTTTAGCACTCTCCTAGTGGCTCCCTGGAGCTTTTTCAAAAATGAGTGAAAATGGAAAAGGAATGATTTTTTTGTTTGTTGTTTTAATGTGGTTTCTTTAGAGGTAAAACCCTCATTCATCTCTGGTCATGGATCTGATCCATCAGCTGTGTGCAAATGAAACACATGAAACAAATAGATGAGCTGAAGCGGGGGTGATGTCCGGTGCCTCCACCTGAGAAGCGCTTTCCCCGAAAAAGCGAAAAAACAAAAAAACATGTGCGCAGACGGACGCTCAGAACAACATATAACAAACCAAACGGGATTCACGCTTCTGTCCGGATGCTTTGCACCCCTCGGAACCAGCCGAGCGCGGAGGACCAGAGCAGCCCACCCGGACCTGTGATCCACAGCGCATTCTCGCTTTTCTCGCACGGAACCAGCGCACAGATGACTGCACTGAAGCACTCGGACCCAGTCCTTTGCGTGCCCAGGTCTGGAACCAGGACATGGAGGACGAAGCCCCCGGATAATCTGACCAACACTGGACCCCCAGCCCTGTCTTGAGTGGCTGCGCGGTGACTGCTCCCGTGTGTTTAGTGCTGCTGCCCGAGCTCAGAGCTTCTGCTCCGGGCTGATGTTGCGTACAAAGTTCTACATGCTGCTGTTTTCTGAGTGCTCCTATGCACGATCAGAAGAAATGCGACTGCTGCTCTGAATACTTCCATCATCGTCGTCAAAGCAACAGGTAAACGTCGGTCGCACTTTCAGCGCGTCAGCTCCTAAAACTCCGTTTATTTTAGTTTTGCGTGAAAACTAAAATAAAGTGAGTTTTTAGAAAGATTCGTTTTCAGAGGCGAAGTTTTCGTGTAAACGATGTGAACAAACGAAGGGAAATGTCTCTGTTTTTAAAAATACCCGTGTACGTGTAAACGGGGCCTAAATGACAAAGGAATCAACACTAACCACCTGATTTCAGTGGCTACAGACGGCGCACCGAGTATGAGAGGGTCGCAAAAGGGGTTTGTGTATCATGAATTCTCATTTTGTATTTGTAGCCGACTTAGTCATTTTAATAGTCGGTTTATAAATTTACTGACAGCCTATGTTGCGTTCATATTAGGCTTATATAAGGCTTTTAATTTTTTGCGGCTCCAGGCAGGCATGGTTTTTGTTTTTTTTGGGCCAATATGGCTCTTGGAACATTTTGGGTTGCCGACCCCTGGTCTATGGGAATAACCCATTCTTACTTTCTCAATTGCAATGGTGTCACTTCGTTGACCTTTGAAAAGTCTTCTTTGGCTGCTTGTAACCTTTCAAATTTTTGCTTCTGCTGCATTTGGGAAACCAGAAAAAATGCGTAGCCTATATAGTATGCTCTAAAAGAATAGGTAAATACAGGACACATGTTGTGTTTCTATATTTGAATATATCAATTGAATTGAAGTGAATTGAATATATCTTATTTGAATATAGAGTGTGTGTCCCTCTAACCTTGATTGTAGTTTATTATGTGGCTCTTTATCAGAAATGGTTGACCATTAATCTAGGGCTCTACTAGGCAAAAGGTAGCCTATCATCTTGTAGGTTATAATAAACGTATCATATAATTTTACAGGTGGTTGCAGTTGCAGCACGGAAGCTTGATGATGCACTGAGTTTTGCTCAAAAGCATAATATCCCCCAGGCTTATGGAAGCTATGAAGAACTGTCCAGAGATCCAAATGTTGGTCAGTATCACTATAATGCACTGGCTGTGGGCCTATAATGCAAGTCAATGCACCACAGAACATTTAAGTAGCCCTATGTAGGTCTAACTAAAAATTGTCTCACCCATTTGTGCTTTTCTACCTTCAAGACACACACTAATTCATACACACATTCATACACCAGTGTACACAGACAGTGAGGATGAGGCAGGTCAAATGTCTTTCCTAAGGACACAACAACAGCATTCATTTCTCTTACTCACACACAACGTTCATTATTCATTTCCCTACATAGGAAAGGTGGTTGAAGTGTCTTGCCCATGGACACATGGGCAGCACTTGTCTAATCTTAGATTAAATAGCCAACTTTTTTGGTTGGGCAAACGCTCTGACTGTTTTCCACTCCTTTGTTACGATCCTAATACTACAAAATAACAATTTAGGATTCTTTTTTTTTTTTCAGATGTAGTGTATATTGGAGTCATTCATCCCTACCATTTGAATACATGTTTAATTTTTGCCAATGCTAAGAAGCACATACTATGTGAAAAACCCCTGGCTATGAACTCTAAGGAGGTTCAGGAGATCCTCACTGCTGCTAAAAGAAATAATGTCTTCTTAATGGAGGTAAACCCAAAGACAAACTGATTCATGTTTTACTCAACATAAATACTGTATGCTTGTATCTTCCTTCTCTTGTAACTTAGTGCAAACATCTCTGTTTTACAGGCTGTCTGGACTCGATTTTTTCCCGTCTCTGTTGAGATCAGACGGCTGCTTGCTCAGGGGGAAGTGGGTGATGTGAAGATGGTGAGGTCAGAGTTTGGGGTGCCACTTTTGGATGTGCCAAGAGCTGTGCAGAAAGAACTGGGAGGAGGAGCCTTGTTGGATCTTGGCATTTATTGCCTGCAATGTATTAGCATGGGTGTACAATGGAGAGAAACCAGAGTCCATCCAAGCCGTTGGAATCTGCTCTGAAACCGGTAGACTAAACTATAGATACATAACAAATGTGTTTTGTGAAAGACACTTCATGTTTGGGGCAAAACTTTCCTCAGTTTATTCACATGATTTATCCTCAAGATCAGATGAACAAACACAGATCTTTACCTCTCTAGCCAAGCATTACTTTAAAGAGAAGGTTTGTCTATATGGTAGCAAATCAAACACGTTATGGAGTAACCAGATTTGTAAATTTTAGCTCTCTTTCATATAGTAGTATTCTGAAGAACAGAAAACACAATAAGAAACCTGTAACTATTAAAATTGTGTCCACTGCTTTAAGTTCTTAATTCTTTCATGTCAGTATGTAAATACATAAACTGTGTTTCAGGTACAGATGAGACTGTGATTGTTACTTTAAAGTACTCAAAGAACAGAATGGCTGTGTTCACATGTTCTAATGGTATGGAGTTGCCTAATGATTTCATTGTTGTTGGAACAAAACACTTCATGAAGGTAAGGCCTGTTTGCTTGTGTCCTGCATAGTTCAGTCAGTGCTGAAATGTTAAAAGATTTTGCACCATGTTCCACATATAGGTCCCTGCCAACATGTGGTGTCCAACATCCCTAATTGTGAATGGGAAGGAGACAGAGTATCCACTTCCTGAACCCTATCTGCCTACCAACTTTCTCAACGGCACAGGGATGTGTTATGAGGCAGAAGAGGTTCGACAGTGCTTGCTCAAAGGTGCTAAAATTTTCCCACAATTTTGTCTAAGCTTACAAACAACTCCTTTGCTCATGTCAATTAACCCTCTTTTTTTTTTTCTCTAGGACTTAAGGAGAGTGCCATAATGCCTCATTCAGACTCTATTCTGCTTGCAGAAATAGAGGATGAAATTCGTAGACAAGTTGGGGTTGTGTATCCCCAAGATTCTTTATAGACAAAAAAAAAAAGAAGAACAATTTCTGGAACCACAAAAACAGTACTTCTTAAAACAAAAATAATGTTTTGTAGTGATATAATAAAATCAAGGAAAATGTGGTACTATTTCTTTTATTGAAATAAATCCAGTCTAATAGGATAGCCCAGTACACAGCTAAACTTCCTTTTACACTTATTTCATACACTCAGGCATTACAATCAAAAGCATACAAGACACAAAGCTATGTGGGTCACTAACACAGGAAAGATGCCCAGCAGGACTCGACTTCACATCTCCCACTGGGGAAAAACCCAGAAAAGTGCTTATTCATATCAGTTAACTTTTGCGAATCACAAGATTCTTAAGTGCCAATGAACATTTGACCCAAATTGAAAATGCAAAGGCATTATGACACACCAACACAATACAGTAACTTGTTCAAACACATTTCGACCTCCAAAATCTGCCTGTATCTATATAGACAAAATACATATCATGGCATTGAATAGAAGTAATATGAATACAATATTGTCTGAATTAGGTTAGGAATGCAACAAACATCTATTACTGTAAAGGCTGGCTTTATGACAATGGAGCTGCAGCTGCACTGGAGTGAACAGCAGTATTTCATTCTGCCCCATCAGTCTCACCTCAGATTGATGCATAAGAATTACAAATAATGATTTGTCTCCCTCTTTTGGTAATATGGGAATGCTACACAGGTTCTCAAGATTTTTTGCGAGGCTACAGAACGAGGTTAATCCACTGTCACGCCTCGTGGCGTACTCTATGCTCTGTTTTATACTCAAAGTTGAGGGATTTATTTGCTGGTGATACACTGCATTGTAATTATATCGACTGTAGGCAACTTGCAAAGAGGATTTCCCCGTTCTTTTTATCACAGTGCGGTGATATACGTGAACACTAGACTTAGTCCAAAGGCACGGCGCGCATCGGCAGCGCGCATCGGCAGCGCGCACGCATTGTCACGTCACATTAAAGAACCTATTATAGAACACAGTTCTACTCATGCCACACAGGTGACAGCAATGGCAACGAAGTGGGGTATCTGCAGCGCAGGGAAGATCTCTCATGACTTCACCGTGGCCCTAAAAACCCTCCCTCCTGAAGACCACCAGGTAGGCCTTGTAAATGTAGCAGCGTAGCATCAAGTATACCCACAAGTGTGCCTCTTGTGTCAAACTGCCTACTTGCTTTTAGATTAAGTCGAATGTGTCATAATAACCTTAGACCGTATATATCTATTATACAGTCTATGGGAATAACCCATTCTTACTTTCTCAATTGCAATGGTGTCACTTCGTTGACCTTTGAAAAGTCTTCTTTGGCTGCTTGTAACCTTTCAAATTTTTGCTTCTGCTGCATTTGGGAAACCAGAAAAAATGCGTAGCCTATATAGTATGCTCTAAAAGAATAGGTAAATACAGGACACATGTTGTGTTTCTATATTTGAATATATCAATTGAATTGAAGTGAATTGAATATATCTTATTTGAATATAGAGTGTGTGTCCCTCTAACCTTGATTGTAGTTTATTATGTGGCTCTTTATCAGAAATGGTTGACCATTAATCTAGGGCTCTACTAGGCAAAAGGTAGCCTATCATCTTGTAGGTTATAATAAACGTATCATATAATTTTACAGGTGGTTGCAGTTGCAGCACGGAAGCTTGATGATGCACTGAGTTTTGCTCAAAAGCATAATATCCCCCAGGCTTATGGAAGCTATGAAGAACTGTCCAGAGATCCAAATGTTGGTCAGTATCACTATAATGCACTGGCTGTGGGCCTATAATGCAAGTCAATGCACCACAGAACATTTAAGTAGCCCTATGTAGGTCTAACTAAAAATTGTCTCACCCATTTGTGCTTTTCTACCTTCAAGACACACACTAATTCATACACACATTCATACACCAGTGTACACAGACAGTGAGGATGAGGCAGGTCAAATGTCTTTCCTAAGGACACAACAACAGCATTCATTTCTCTTACTCACACACAACGTTCATTATTCATTTCCCTACATAGGAAAGGTGGTTGAAATGTCTTGCCCTTGGACACACATGGGCAGCACTTGTCTAATCTTAGATTAAATAGCCAACTTTTTTGGTTGGGCAAATGCTCTGACTGTTTTCCACTCCTTTGTTACGATCCTAATACTACAAAATAACAATTTAGGATTCTTTTTTTTTTTCAGATGTAGTGTATATTGGAGTCATTCATCCCTACCATTTGAATACATGTTTAATTTTGCCAATGCTAAGAAGCACATACTATGTGAAAAACCCCTGGCTATGAACTCTAAGGAGGTTCAGGAGATCCTCACTGCTGCTAAAAGAAATAATGTCTTCTTAATGGAGGTAAACCCAAAGACAAACTGATTCATGTTTTACTCAACATAAATACTGTATGCTTGTATCTTCCTTCTCTTGTAACTTAGTGCAAACATCTCTGTTTTACAGGCTGTCTGGACTCGATTTTTTCCCGTCTCTGTTGAGATCAGACGGCTGCTTGCTCAGGGGGAAGTGGGTGATGTGAAGATGGTGAGGTCAGAGTTTGGGGTGCCACTTTTGGATGTGCCAAGAGCTGTGCAGAAAGAACTGGGAGGAGGAGCCTTGTTGGATCTTGGCATTTATTGCCTGCAATGTATTAGCATGGTGTACAATGGAGAGAAACCAGAGTCCATCCAAGCCGTTGGAATCTGCTCTGAAACCGGTAGACTAAACTATAGATACATAACAAATGTGTTTTGTGAAAGACACTTCATGTTTGGGGCAAAACTTTCCTCAGTTTATTCACATGATTTATCCTCAAGATCAGATGAACAAACACAGATCTTTACCTCTCTAGCCAAGCATTACTTTAAAGAGAAGGTTTGTCTATATGGTAGCAAATCAAACACGTTATGGAGTAACCAGATTTGTAAATTTTAGCTCTCTTTCATATAGTAGTATTCTGAAGAACAGAAAACACAATAAGAAACCTGTAACTATTAAAATTGTGTCCACTGCTTTAAGTTCTTAATTCTTTCATGTCAGTATGTCAATACATAAACTGTTTTTCAGGTACAGATGAGACTGTGATTGTTACTTTAAAGTACTCAAAGAACAGAATGGCTGTGTTCACATGTTCTAATGGTATGGAGTTGCCTAATGATTTCATTGTTGTTGGAACAAAACACTTCATGAAGGTAAGGCCTGTTTGCTTGTGTCCTGCATAGTTCAGTCAGTGCTGAAATGTTAAAAGATTTTGCACCATGTTCCACATATAGGTCCCTGCCAACATGTGGTGTCCAACATCCCTAATTGTGAATGGGAAGGAGACAGAGTATCCTCTTCCTGAACCCTATCTGCCTACCAACTTTCTCAACGGCACAGGGATGTGTTATGAGGCAGAAGAGGTTCGACAGTGCTTGCTCAAAGGTGCTAAAATTTTCCCACAATTTTGTCTAAGCTTACAAACAACTCCTTTGCTCATGTCAATTAACCCTCAATTTTTTTTTTCTAGGACTTAAGGAGAGTGCCATAATGCCTCATTCAGACTCTATTCTGCTTGCAGAAATAGAGGATGAAATTCGTAGACAAGTTGGGGTTGTGTATCCCCAAGATTCTTTATAGGCAAAAAAAAAAGAAGGAACAATTTCTGGAACCACAAAAACAGTACTTCTTAAAACAAAAATAATGTTTTGTAGTGACATAATAAAATCAAGGAAAATGTGGTACTATTTCTTTTATTGAAATAAATCCAGTCTAATAGGATAGCCCAGTACACAGCTAAACTTCCTTTTACACTTATTTCATACACTCAGGCATTACAATCAAAAGCATACAAGACACAAAGCTATGTGGGTCACTAACACAGGAAAGATGCCCAGCAGGACTCGACTTCACATCTCCCACTGGGGGAAAAACCCAGAAAAGTGCTTATTCATATCAGTTAACTTTTGCGAATCACAAGATTCTTAAGTGCCAATGAACATTTGACCCAAATTGAAAATGCAAAGGCATTATGACACACCAACACAATACAGTAACTTGTTCAAACACATTTCGACCTCCAAAATCTGCCTGTATCTATATAGACAAAATACATATCATGGCATTGAATAGAAGTAATATGAATACAATATTGTCTGAATTAGGTTAGGAATGCAACAAACATCTATTACTGTAAAGGCTGGCTTTATGACAATGGAGCTGCAGCTGCACTGGAGTGAACAGCAGTATTTCATTCTGCCCCATCAATCTCACCTCAGATTGATGCATAAGAGACATTTGAGATACAGCAGATTAGGACAAGCTGTTGAATCTGAGCCCTATAGACTATAGTTTTACTGGCAAACAAACAAGGAATGGATACAGTGTGGCATGGATGGAAAACATAGCTCTTATTGTATACTTCATACTTTCCAAATAAATTATTTGAATGTTGGAGTCATTTTGGTTGTGTGGGGAGAGCCTTGGAGTGTGTGAAGAAGAGCTATGAAAGAGCCAGTGACCTTTCAGGGCACCAGAACCACACGCATGGTGTTGGTATAACCAGAGCCAGGGCGCCAGCCGGTGAGGATGATAACTACATCTCCTTCTTTGAAGAAGCCTCGAGCTTTACCTGCAAAAGTGATGCATATTAGTTGGCCACCTGTGCACTTAATATTTAAAATAGATAATTGAATTTACCCATTTCCATTGCAAAGTTGACACGCATGTCCACATCCTCAGCCCAAACATCATGGGCAGGGTTAGTGTAAAGAACTGGGAAGATGCCACGGTACAGATGGGCTTGGCGAGCTGTCTGCGCATTGCGAGTAACAGCAATGATGGGGGCACGAGGTCTGTACCTAGAGATCAGGTGAGCGGACCTACAAAACACAAAGCAACTATTAAAAACACTAAAGTAAAGAAAAAACATCACATATATTTTTAGTTTGCAGTTTAATTTTCTCTGGAATTCATGCACATATAAAAATCACATGACCACTTAAACCAGGCAAAAATAATTTATTGGCATGTCAATTCAAACCCATTTTAATTTGTTATGTTGAATGTTTTCATATTAATTAAAATTGCATATTGCAATTAACATTCATTTCAGTTTGATTAAAGCTCAACTTCACTCACTCCACCTACTGCTATGTTCACACATTCACACAAGGGAAGTAAGATTAAAAGGGTTGAGGACAGGAGTAAAAAGTCAGGGGCAGTGTAGACTCCTTACCTCTGACACAAACTACTGCATCTTCTGTCTTACCTTCCACTCTTGGTGAGAACTACAATGGCACTAGCACAGGACTTGAAGGAGGCTTCCACAGCTCCCACAGCTACAGCCTCAGAGGGGTCTCTGGTCAACTGGGAGTGTCTTCTGAGCTCCTCAAACAGCTGTCTGTGGAAGGTGGCTGCCTCTGCCTCTCGAGCTATCTGTGCACCGAGGTGTCATGGGAATGAATGGGTGAAGCAAGGAAGGTTACACACACACACACAGATTTTGAAAGCACGCACACCACTGAGAGCTGCTTGCAAAACTCCACTTCTAATTGGGTTTGTTCTCAAAAAAATTTGATACATTTTACATTTACATTTTTGTGCACAAGTAGTTTGGGAGTTTTGCAGAAGTGGCCCAGTCACAGACTCCTAAGACCTGACTTGCCCTATTCTAGGCTCAAAATCCCTTTGAACAGTCTGTTCCTTATAATGAAGACCAGCGTTCCGTCCTACCTTCCAGAGCCTGTGAGCACAATGAATGCTGAGGCTAGGATCTTAAAGGATGCCTCGACTGCCCCAATTGCAATAGCCTCAGCCGGGTCTTTGCAGTGTGGTGTGGAGCGGCGCAGGTCCTCAAACACCTGCCGATGGAACATGGCCGCCTCGGCCTCACGAGCAATCTATCACAAGCCAGGGCATGAAAGAGACACGGCATTCACACAGCAGGGACACAAATGCAAGGAAGAAAAGAGAGAACACACAGAACACACAGTTAAGTAGAAAGACAGATCGGTCATTAATGTTGGATTAATAGCACAGAAAAAGACACAGACAGAAACCAGAAATAGAGAAACAAAAATGTTGGTAATTGGTAGTAGAGGAAAGGAGGAAAGAAAAAAAAAAAAAGTTCAAACAAATACTGATTAAAATCATTTATATATATTTTTTTTAAACATGAATTATTGCTTTTGATATAATAATGATATAATGCATGGCACAGGCAAATTATGAGCATGTGAAAACACTGATTTATTGCAAAGCCAAACAGAAATAAGTTGAAAGTTGCCAAGCAAAGGAAGAGACAGCAGACTGCTGAGTCACTCTGGCCTCTGCAGTGAAGCCAGGAGAATGCCAGGAAGGTTTGACTGGACAGTTAAAGTGGAGGCAACCTTCACCTAATGGACTCCATCTATCCCTGACCAATACATGTTTCACATGATCGACATGATGTAAATAATATGCAATCAGATTTAGTACAGAATGAGCAATTTAAGTGGTTAAAAAGTATTGAAGTATGTTATTGTCAGGAAGTATGACAATGCGAGATCAGAATGTTAGTGCTATGGTGCAAATTGTTCAGCCAGTGTTTAGTACTAATATCTTATGAATTGCCATTTACTTTACAGCTATTCAATGTCAGTGTCTCACCATGTGTTGTGTGCGCACGGCCTCCAGGGGGTAGTCTCCCTTGGCTGTCTCACCACTCAACATAATGCAGTCTGCGCCATCCAAAACAGCGTTGGCAACATCACTGCCCTCAGCACGAGTGGGTCTTGGCTTCTTGATCATGCTCTCCAACATCTGAATGAGAAATAATCAGACGGCAATTTATAGCAATTTTAACCTACTTCATAAATGATAAAATATTGTGATCTGACCTGAGTGGCACATGTGATTGGTTTGCCAGCTCTGTTGCAGCGTCCAATCATCATTTTTTGGGCCACAAACACTTTCTCTGTGGGAATTTCAATCCCGAGGTCGCCACGAGCCACCATAATCCCATCACTGGCCTCCATAATCTCATCAAATCTATAATTAACCATTTTGATTATTATTTTATTAGTAAAAGGTTTAAATGTACCCATTAGAGTCCTACAAACCTGCGCACACCCTCATGATTCTCAATCTTACTGACGATCTTGATGTTTTTGCCCTTGTCTCCCAGTACTGCCCTAACAGCATGTACATCTGCAGCTTTACGGATGAAAGAGGCGAACACCATGTCAACTCCCTGCTCCACGCCAAACTGCAGGTCCTGGACGTCCTTTTCAGAGACTGCTGGCAGGTCCACGGCGGCACCAGGCAAGTTCACTCCCTTCTTACTTCCCAGGCTGCCACCATTCTCAATCTCACACATAAGGTAATCAGAACCTGAGGAGAGGTTTGAGTTATGCTTTGTCCATTCAAAGACATTAAAAACTTGACAACTCCTTCACTTACCCATCTCCATAACCTGTAGAGATATAAGTCCATCATCAATGTAAATTTTGCTGCCCACTTCCACCACTTTGGTAATGTTTTTGTAGTCGAGCCACAGAATCTGATCACTGCATTTCTCTTGATACGCATCATCCAAGGTGATCTTGATCATGTTGCCCTTCTTTAGCTCCACTTCTGCAGTACCACTCTGTCAAATTGAAATGATACAGGTTACATATTTTTACATGTGCAGTAAATTGTGTTGTGTTATAATGAATGAACAATAACAGACCCCATGAATGAGGCCGGTCCTGATTTCTGGTCCTTTAGTGTCCAAGGCAATGCCAATAGGTCTGTAGCTGATGCTGCCTGGTTCAAAGCTTTCACAGGCCTCACGGACATTCTTGATTGTCTGAGCATGATACTGTATAACGGACAACATATAACAAAATGTGTGACCTTTAACCAGCGTAAATTTTAATGGAGCATTACATAACGTAGTAAGTTCAAGTTATAAAACCATATAAAATTATACAACTAATAAAACTTAACTAAGAGGACCAGTCTGGATATAAAACAGACTAAGATTATTCAGGTTAAATGTAGAAACAGAAACACAGCAAGTTCTAGTTTTAACATTTAGAAGATTCTCTGCAGGGGAAAATGACAAATTTGACAGCATTTTATACTATTGCATAAAATATTCTTTATCAATATTTTTAATAAATATGTAAGTTGTAATCTGCCAAGATAGAATGAAATATAGTTGACCAGTTTAAAGTACATAGTCTAGACCTATGCTTTCCCAACAGCAATGGATAAACTCATAGTAAGGTAAAAGTGAACAAACATCCAGGCTGTGATAAACCACAATACACTAGTGATCACAATATTATCAGGTAGACAAGACGTGACATTGAACAATAGCAAGACTTATTGTTAAAGAGTTTTATGTGCACAGGAGGAATTACAAACCTCATGTGTTCCATGAGAAAAGTTTAAGCGTGCAATGTTCATTCCAGACTTTATCATCTCCTTGAGCATATCCACAGATCGAGAGGCTGGTCCTGTTTCAAGAAGCATATTTTAACATTTCCATTTTATTCAAATACATTATATTGTTTTTAGGAAAATTGAACTAACCGATAGTACAGATGATGCCAGTATTGCGTGCGGTGGTGGGGTCAGAGTCGATGTCTAGCAGGCACATGTGTTCCAGGAAGGTGTCCGCCATGGCAGCACTGAGCTGCTGCGTCTGAATGAAGGCAGTGCCCATATCTTGAGCCTTTTGCATGGTTTTCACTGGTGTAGAGCGAGTGGTCCTAAAAAAGAAAGATTGTTATATTTAAAAGGCCTGCTCATTACATATGATCATATTTATATTACATTTCTGTGTTTTGACATGCTATGAGATTCCACACTAGGGCTGCAAGATTGATCACAATCAAGTTGAAATTACAATTTAAAGTCACAAAGGCTACAATTATTCATGCAGTACCATTTGTGTTCTAAACAAGACAGGATGTAATATAACTTCCAACTCTATAGTTTAAACGTCTACAAAAATGTTCTGCAATGCATGGGAGTGCTGCATTAGTTAGTAGTATATTGTATTCAAGTCTTTGCTGAACACTTCTGGACTGTGAACTAATGCTGTGATTTCCCAATGTGTCAGAAAAAGAAAAAAAGAGCAGCTAGATAGAGATGAATGATTTTGGAAAATCTATTTCACATCTGCATATTACCAGACAAGTTAACACCTCTTTATCATTTGGTACATTCAGTTCTTCCCCTCTAGCTTCCCTCAAAGTTTACCATGACAACAGCACCACCATGAGGCTCAGATAGAGGACAAAATTTGGCAAGATTTCACCACCACCGCCGCTTTCACAAAGCACTTGGGAAATACCGGGTGTGTCATGATTTTAGTGTAAAGTCTCGTATTACATCGCAAATGATGAAGCGTTAACAGTCAGTCTGCTCTCGATTTACCGGTCAAGACCAACTGCAGGCATTTCCACAAATGCACCACTTACAATCATTACATTATCATTACGTTACATAACATTATGTCTTAGTTAATACAAACTTACACTTAATAACTGTCATAGCCAAATACTACTTGAAAGGATGGCTTCTTAATATAAGATTTTGTTTCAGTCTTTACAAGATGAGAAATTTCTTCTTTCCTTTGATTGATTGATAGCATTTACAGTATATAGCGCCTTTCAAGATACCCAAAGCGCTTTTACAGTTCATTATTCAGTCACTCCACACTCTGTGGTGGTAAGCTACTACTGTAGCCACAGCTGCCCTGGGGCAGACTGACGAAAGCGAGGCTGCCTATCTGCGCCATCGGCCCCTCCGACCACCACCATCACTCACACACACACACACCACTTTCATACTAGGCAATGTGGGTGAAGTGTCTTGCCTAAGGACACAACAACAGTTTTTTTGCCACTGGCGCCTCACTGTGGCACCTGGAATTCCTAGCAGTCTCCCATCCAAGTACTACCCAGGCCCAGCCTGCTTAGCTTCTGAGATCTGATGGGATCAGGCTTTTACAAGCCGGTATGGCCATTTGCTTTTTAACACATGTACAAAACTGCATTTAAATGAGCTGGTTCCATTTTTGACTACGGAGTGAAACAGTTCACTAGTTGCAACTACACACTAGTTAGTAGTCACACTTCAGCCCCCTCTGGTCTTCTTACTCATTCTAATTATGAATGCATCTCGATAGGGGGATCCCAGACACTGCTGCACTAAACAGAACAGAGACTGCAGTCTGCCTGATGATGTAACACACTACTGAAGCTCACATACAAATGCCAGGCCAGTGATGTACGTGAGCAGAATCACATCCCACGGTGGCAGCTCACCAGCACATAAAAAGGCATGGGGAGACAGACATGTGGCAGGAAACTACTAATAAGAGACAAACCACAATGTGACGTAAATACACCTATGACAAGCAATAACAGCCAACACCAACTACCACAGATGCAATGCTAACTTTAGAAAGTAGCTGCATGTAATCCTCTACAATCCCCTACAGACACATCCACCCAACACTACAATTTACCAGCCAACTTGCAAATATAAACTAGACTGTAACCACTGTGATTATGTCAGTTTGACTTTCTTTCAGATATTCAATACCTCTGCTTCTGTTGCATGCTCAAACTCATGCTGGCTCTTTAGTTAACCAGTTAGCATGCTAAGCTACATACCACCAGTAGATATTCCTGCTTCTTCTGGGGACAAACAGATAGTGAACAGACACTGATCTCCAGCACAGCCCCGGAGTGCTGGAGTGTCCGCGGCCTATAAAGTGAAATCGCCTATTCCCAGTAATAGCCAATAGAGCACAAGTTACTGGTCTGCCTGAACATACATATGACAGTTTCAGGAGCTCCAGAGTAAATCCCATCAGTAAGGATAAAGGACTTGGAACAAGGTTGTTTTAACTAGGTCTATACCATGATCTCAGAGCAAACTTACGAGAGGTTCCTCCAAATGACCAAGAGAGCAGTGTGCATCCAAGGTAATACAGCCTATGTCACCCAGTACCCCGAACTAAAATGGGAATGCCTAATAATAACTCACAACATGAGTGTTTGTAAAATATATTTTTAACTTGCCTCAAGCTGCAAACACAGATAAGACATTTATCAGTTGCTGCCTAAGTTATACAAAGATATTGTAGTGTTTGAGGTCTATCTAGACTGCACTGTGTGAGAAGGACGCCACATAACAGGTATTGTTCCCATGTAGATTAACCTGCTCCATGAGAGCCATGGCAGCTGTGAACTGACCCAGAACACGATCACAAAGAGCTAAGCAGTTCAAATATACTCGCCCACCTACAGTATGCACAAAACGAGGTGTAGAAAATAGCTCATCATATTTAACTTTTGGAAGAATGCAAAGTTTCTACTCTGCTTTTTGTTACTGCAGGGTGTAGATAGACTGGGGTGTTACCTTATTTAGACCTACTGCAGAAGAGTGTTTGGAGAGAGTTATTACTATAAACACAAGTGGTCGACCTCTTAGAACTTTTGAGAAACAAATTCCAGATAAGCAAAAACAATCAGAAGAACTGTCCTGTCATGAGAAGGGAGCTACACAATTGGCTGGTATCAAGTGTCACGAAGACACCGCTACAGACTGCTGCAATGGCGCGCTACAGTAGACTGAATGGGCCTGTACGTGTCGTCTACATTTTAAAGAGGACAAAAATTGCACATAACTCTAATCAGCTCGTTTTCGCTTTTGTAATAGGCCTATAAAGCCGCATATCTATTGAGATACAATGCCGATGCGACAGAGGTCACGTTCACATCACTGCGTCACATTTTCCTCAAGAAGAAACATGACCAAGAAGAGCCAATGAACGCGCTCGTCACACCCACAACAGGAAGAAACTTTCCATGTTCCAACCCCAAAGCATCACCATTTTGATCATTTTTACATCTACAAAAGAGATTAAAATGAGCAGAAAACGCCAAAAATAAATACATGTCTTTCATAGCAGACGTGTTACTGTCACTTGCTCGGTTTGATCATCTATAATTGATGGATGTGCAGCATCTCGTGTCCTCCTTGGTTAGAAATAGGAAATGTAATGTATAAACCCCTCTGTTGATGAAGCACTGGTGTACGGTTAATTGTTCCTCTTCTGGTCATAATAAACCACATTTATAAGCCAAATAGTACTGCTAAAGTGATTACGGACTCCATGTGATCATCCACGCACTTAACGTTACCAGTTAGCGAGATGCCAAGCGGGATCAAATGACTATAATGTTAGAGCAGTTACCGAAAACGAGAAAAAAAGCCCTTTCAGCAGCAGCAGAGACAGCAGGATACCCACCTTTAAACTGGAGAAGAGCTCAAAGTGATGTAACAGACGCTACACTTCTGCAGCTCAAGGTGATCCCTGTTCTAGTCTCGGAACTACTTCGTGCGGATGCTGTGAGATATCCTTCCGAGTGTTAATATCACTTAGCCGCACCCTTTTAATCTCTTTAGGAATTAAAGTAACGTGCTATTACTCGGTCTATTTGTGATCAATTTATTTTCCAGTTTAATTAAAAAACAAAAATACCGTATTAATTGTATGCGGAAGGATACAATGCGTTGGTAGTGCTTTGTAAAGTTCTCTAACCAATCACAGAGCCGAATAGCATCTTGTCTAACACGTGACCTGTGTGACTCAGGTTGAATTGTTTCCTCTTCTAGTTACTTTAACTTCCTTCTTTTTCGTGAGATTCACGGCAAGTTTGTAAAGATAACAGGTATGTTTTATTGTGCTACAGTCCTCGTGGGTGGTGTCAACACACCGGTGGTATACACTACATTGACGCATAAAATTGTTTTCAATTAACATCACGGTTTTAAGCGTGACCATGCAAACTGATCTGTAGCGACACCCAGCGTTTACTATTGTGCAATACATTTACAATCTATAGGACCACAAAAATGCAGCATTACACAAACTGTGGTACTGACTGTTGTTGTCACTAAGTAATAAAGTAAATTGAAATATTAAGTATTGACCAACATACAGTAGGTATAAACAGCAAACTGCAAAATGTATTCTTGCATGTGCTACTATCTCTTTCTACCAGTGCAGCATCTGTTACTATCATATGCCATGTTCAGGTCATGAGCCTTCTTTTGATACATCAGAAATAATAAAAAAAAAAAGTAAAATAAACAGAAAATAAATAGCCATGTCCCACTGCATTTTTCCATGTTATTTTCTTACCTGTTTATAGCAGTGGTGGTACTGCTGCTTCCGCTACCCATTGTATCATTTCAGTGGCTGCATGGATCGGATCAGAGCCATTAATAGAGACCAGAACACATGCTGGCCCAGGTGAGAGACATAGCTGAGTTATCAGTCCCATGGTTGTCAATCAGCATTAATCATAACTACTAAGCTGGAGTAAGACAATCTGGGCATACAGTCAGTTAATTCTCCTAGATGAGACAAGAAAATTAGACATTCAGAAAAAAGGTCATACAGCATAGCCAATGCAACTTACCTTTTACAGTAATCTACATTTATAATAGATTTTAAAGTAATCTGAAATATGCTGATTTAAGTTATTATGATATTTGACAATTATTAAATCAACATAGACGTTTAATGTGATAATCTGGTATTTTTTGGTAATTTTACTAAATTATTTTATTACAGTGCTACAGTTTTGTTGCTTGTTCAGAAGAAAGAAACTCGTTTATGCAACACATTTGACATTTTCACTGTTTTGATGATTACAGTGGTGTGTTTCATATTAACTTTGCACAAAAAGTGGTTTAACAAAGACTTTTAATATTACAGCCATGAATTATTATTTTTTTAACCGTATTGAATCCATTTGAAATATATAATATTGAATGGAAAGCTGACTGTATTGAGATATGTATCATATCGTGGCCAGTGTGTCGAGGTATATATCGTATCAGCAATTTCTGAATGATTCCCAGCCCTATTTAACATGCTGGCTTTAATCAATTTCCTTATATAAAATTATTCTGCATGAGTCTTTTGGCTTTAGAACCATTTCCATTGGGTTTGGAACAGTTTTTTGTATGAAAAGGTGGGGATATACATTTTTATGTCTTTTTGCTCCTTTTCATGCAGGTATTTTTTTTTTTTTGTAATTGAAAATTAAATTAAATAATCACCTTATCCTGAAATTCTTTTAAAATACTGAAGGAAACTACTCAAACAAAATGCACACAATGAATCAAAAATATTATGCAACAGCCCAGAAGTATGCAGACATAAGCTTAAAGAGGGATTGGTGTACACACAAATAGAACCATTATTCCTCCATTTTCTTTGCTTTTTCTAGGCAAGTGCAGTCAGCTGCAAGTCACATGACCAGCTGCCTATCCCTACTGAGCATGCTCGGAGCTTTCAGTGTTGTCAGGCAAAATATAAGACAGCAGTAGGAGCAGAGATCTGCAATAGATAAACACACACAGCAGATGGCTTGCTCACATAGCGCTAGCCCAGACAGGAGGTTGTTGTAGAACTGGACTATTGTGAATCTCATGTAGCCGCTTTGTTGTGATTGTTGCAGAAAGAGAAGCCGCTGAAGGAAAAGCAGGTGTGCCCTTTAAGAGGGGGAGCAGCTGAGCAAAGGACAGCATCCCAGTCTCCATCCTCTCTGGAGGTAAGTGTGGGGTACAAAGGGGGAGGGGGAAGACGCCTGACTGCATCTGTGTTTGCATTAAAAAGCTGGAAAATTGGGACATCGAAAAGAGCTGTGGGGGTTGAGAGGCACGAGACTCTATTGGTATGAGAAATAAATGACAATGGTCAGATCTATGGCGGACAATGCTGGCACGATGTTGAGTGTGTTATGAATTCAAGCAGGGCTGTGGATTACATGGCAGTGGTGTAGGGATTCTGTGGAGATTTAAACACAAAATGCCCAATATTTGAGGCTCTAAGAGTTGTAGAATCTGTCGGTTTTATAGAAAGTCGGTAGCCATGCTGTGCTTTCTTTTGTCTGATGCTAGTTATGCCACAATATATATTTCCCAGCCTGATTCTAAGTACGTGACAACAAAATGACATCAGCAAATGTACACTTTAATAAATGGATAAGCTTTTTGCTTTATATTCACATCTGGTTGACAACAAACATAGAAAAAGAGACATTCTGGGTGCTGAGCGTACAGCACTATCTCCCACACATTCTCCTCTCAGTGATTAATGCCACTCTGAAAGGAGGCTGAAATGGTTGTTGCTAGGATACATGGCAAGGTGAAGAACGGACGATTTAAAGAAAGGAGGCGGAGGGCACTGTTCTACTGAATGGCATCACACTAGCCGTACCTTTGTTGTTTCATAATTTCTCTTTGTTGCATATTTTTTATGGTTTCAGTGTTCAGAAGGATTTTTATTGCGTGAAATGGCTGCAATGATTAGCAACGGTCGGGGGCCTGTTTGAGCAAACCTATGATCAACGGACCTAATGGTAAGGCAGCTTTCATTCTGTTTTTTGTGCTGTGTCACCATGTCTTGATTCGAAGTGTTTTATGTAATTCAAATCTAATATTCTGTCTTTCCAGTATAAACAGCCAAGCTCTGATGCTATAAACAGCTCAGTTTGAAGCATTTCAATAGAAGCTAAATATAGAGAAAGAATGTCACATGAAAGGATGGTGGAGGAAGGCTGTGTTTTGTTTCCGCTTCACCGTATTAGCTTTTGACAATGTGTGGGCCCACAGGACATCAAAGGCCAGTGCTGGACAGATGAGGAGTCAGACGGGGAGAATGAGTCCGAGCAGTTCCTCTATGGCATTCAGGTAAGGCCAGTTCATGTCCCACATTCATTCATACATTATAAAAGATAGCTATATGTGGCGTGTGTTGTAATATTCATGAATGTCTATGCTGACTCATGCTTTTATCTAACGTCATAGTATTATAGATTCATTCATGATTTACAAGTCTTCCATTTGATAATTTTAATTTTTAAGTTTTAGAACACAAACCTTTGCTATCATATTGATATTTTTTCAGAATATTAACCTGCCTAGCCTTCTCACTGTTGAGCATGAATAAAAAATGTATTTTATATGTTTTCTCACAAGATAAAGTCATGGTATGATTTTTTTTTTGTGCTAAATCACCCAGCCCTATTTATGAGTTATATATAGCATTGTCCAAATGACAATTATAATAATCATGGTATTCATGGTGCCAAAGCAGTAGTATTTTTTATAGTATTTGTTATATAATGTAATTATCATTCTTTGCATTAAAAAAATACTGTTTTATTATTTACAGGGTAGTTGTGCTGCTGACCTATACCGTCACCCTCAGTTAGATGCAGATATTGAGGCAGTGAAAGACATTTACACCGAGAGTGCCATCTCTGTCAGGTAAGGAATGCATCTGAAGGCAGCACTTGTCGTATTAACTGATCGTATTATTCATAAAATCCATTGTGTCCATCTTTCTGTACAGGGAGTATGGTACAATTGATGATGTGGACATCGACCTTCACATTAACATAGGATTTTTAGACGTGAGTCAGCATTTTTTACTCCCATTAATATTCTAGAGTTGTCATTTTCCACAGGAGCACACCATTTGTAATGTAGTGTCTGTTCATAGTGCTTTAATGGATTGCTCTAATTAGCTAGTTAACTGTGTGTATTTATGTGTGTCTGCCTTAGGAGGAGGTTGCAACAGCGTGGAAAGTCATCAGAACAGAACCCATTATTTTAAGACTGCGTTTTTCTCTTTCACAGTACCTTGATGGACCTGGTAAGAAGTAGTGGTAGTAGTGGTGTAAATGCACTATTATTTTATGGCTTTTATAACTGCGCCAATTACAACATTATGATGAACTGAGTTCAGTGTGCTGATGATAAAATGAAATGGTCACTTTACATTCATTGTTAAATTTATATTGTTTTTGTTGTTAGAGCCATCAGTAGAGGTTTTTCAGCCTTCTAACAAAGACGGTTTTAGTCTTGGCTTACAACTTAAAAAGTAAGTCCTACTTTGCTTTCTTATTGCAAAATAGCATTTATTTTTATTATTTACTCACCAAGTAGATTTTTTTTTTTACAGAATCCTGAGCACATTCACTTCTCAGCAGTGGAAACATCTTAGTAATGAATTTCTTAAGGCTCAACAGGAGAAGAGGCACAGCTGGTTCAAAGCTGGAGGAACCATCAAAAAGTTCAGAGCTGGGCTAAGCATCTTCTCCCCCATACCTAAGTACATTTTTGCCTGCTCTTACACCACTGGCATAGCAAAAACAGTGAAATTATGAAATTATGCATATGCCTTTTGTCTATGATAAAGAAGGTGTCAGTGACTTGTTCTAACATTATATGTTATACTTTGAGAATTGGGGATATAGGAACAACAAAAGGGCAAATTAATGAACAATTAAAAAGGCTTGTTGCATGTCCATTTACTTTTGTCTATAATCAAGAACTACATGCTTAATTAGCATGTATACATAAATGCTGTTACTTTACTTTTTTTTTTTTAAAGTCAGTGCTGTTTTGTTAAATGTGTAAGAGACAAACTAGACTGACAGTATCGACTTGAAGACTGACAAAATTCAATAAGAGACACATTTGGACAATTTCCCCAGAGGAAGGGACTTCTCTCAGGCGTTGTTTAACTGCAGGATGCTTTGACAGTTACGAGTGCTCAGTATGGAGGTCAGCCTCACTAACCACTAGGTTGTCTTGACAACTGCATGACTGGACCAGAGCTGTGTGTCAGATGGTTGTAGTGTCCAAAGTGAAGCGGTATAATGATTATTTACTGTACAGTGTTTTCTTATAATGTTTTGGATCCAAATACAACAAATTAATTATATTTTTTTTGTCCCATCTGCAGGTCTCCCAGTTTTCCTCTGATCCAAGACACAGTTCTAAAAGGAAAACTTAGTGTTCCTGAGCTGAGAATGACCCGGCTGATGAACCGCTCTATCTCCTGTACAATGAAGAATCCCAAAGGAGAGCTGTTTAGTTATCCACCTAACACTCAGGTCAGTGTCATATTAATACATTATAGTTTAATTGCTCTGTGTTGTTGTGCCTTGTCCCCTTTTACCTACTCTGAAGCTGCAGTTTGGTCCTGCCACCTGCACTGTCCCAACCTGTGTCACTCCCTGCCCCACACTGTGAGATGGCCAGATTGCGTGTCCCATAATATTTTGTCTCACTTGCTTCATCAGACTGTGGCTGTCCCAGCGGCCAGGGCCCCCGCGCAGATAACCACGAGGCAGCTGATTGAATTGTTTTTCTCATCCCAGGCGGGAGGGCACTGCAAGAACATCCCTACACTGGAGTATGGCTTCCTAGTGCAGGTTAGATACAAGTAATGGTTAAATTCAGGACATTGAGTTAGTAAAATGGTTGATTGGAAGCTTTTATGTTGTTTCACTTTATTGCCACATTTGGTGCTAAGTGAGGATACCGCTGTGCTTTTCTCATGCAGATAATGAAGTACTCTGAACAAAGGATCCCCACTCTCAACGAGTACTGTGTGGTCTGTGATGAGCAGCACGTCTTTCAAAATGGTTCAATGTTAAAGGTATAGAAGTTACAATGCATATTTCATATTTTAGTCTATGTGTTTTTTTCACTAGAACTCAACATTTTGGACTGAATTATTTTAATTTGCTCACATGCTGAAGTACTTTTTTTCCAGCCGGCAGTGTGCACTAGGGAGTTGTGTGTGTTCTCTTTCTACACTCTGGGCGTGATGTCAGGAGCTGCAGAGGAGGTAGCTACCGGAGCAGAGGTAAGACACATCTTACAGGAGGAAACTAAAATATGTATTCAGCAAAATAACATAAAATCTCTGTTTGTGCAGGTGGTGGACCTCCTGGTGGCCATGTGTCGAGCTGCACTTGAGTCGCCTCGCAAGAGTATCATCTTTGAGCCCTATCCATCTGTAGTCGATCCCAATGACCCCAAAACCTTGGCCTTCAATCCTAAGGTCAGTATCTACTCCACTGTGACTAAAATACATGTTGCTATACCATTTTATTTCTATGTGAAAGATATGCAATATCTTCTCAAATATTTGTTTATTTTTTTCTCTCGTACACAATGGTTGTTCGGCTTAAACAATCAACACAGAAGAAGAATTATGAAAGGCTGCAAAAAGCATTAGACAGTGTTATGTCAATTCGAGAGATGACACAGGTAAAAGACAAAAGCTTACAAATAATTATTGTAACCTAAAGGACACATCTAAACCTTGTTTTCCTTTTGTCTTAGGGCTCTTATCTAGAAATTAAAAAGCAGATGGATAAACTGGACCCCCTTGCTCATCCCCTGCTACAATGGTGAGACAATTTGAGAATAGGCTAATTATATGATATACAAAACTGACAACCCTTATGGAGGAATAAAATATGCCTAAACATATTTTGGTCTGTCTATAGGATTATTTCAAGTAACAGGTCACATATTGTCAAGCTACCTCTGAGTAGGGTAAGAAACCTGAACAGATGTCTAGACTAACTGTATGACTAACTCATGATTATAACTAAATTATATTTATTTCCCTCTATTTCCCCCATTTCCCCCTGCTTTGTGGTGGGGATAGCAACTGAAATTCATGCACACGTCCCACCAGTTCCTGCTGCTGAGCAGCCCACCAGCCAAGGAGGCCCGTTTCCGCACTGCCAAGAAGCTTTACGGCAGCACCTTTGCTTTTCAGTGAGTCCTTTTGCCCTACATTGCCTTTCTCATAATCTATAATGTCTTTGCTCTACTGTAAGTTGGTGTTTACAAATGTGTAACTTTATGGCAGTTAGTCAAAGACAGCAGACCTCACACATGGCCAAAACATTCATGCATAATTTAGCATTACACTGTGTCAGACACGATCATGAGTCAGTTTAACACCTGGTTATTGGGTAGAGTGCAAATTTTATAAAACCGTAACCATCAGGAGCACACAGTCTGTTCCTTCTGTTGGAGAGGGAGGCCATCCACATTTGCCAGCACATGCAGCCAGAAATACTATCTATGATGAAGAGCCTAACAAAGGCAGATGAACCTCCGCTAAATATATTAGAAACAAATAGGCTTTTGAGCAAGGAGGTTACCTTGAGTATCTACTAAAGCAGTCTTCTTACCTGTTTAGAAAATTGCGGAAATATATTATTTAATACAGAAACACTGCAAACAAGACAAAATTTCCAGGCTGTACTACTGGTGCACTTTTGTTGTTGTATGTTGTGAATGTGATTTTTAATGGTAGCTCCTTAAACTAAAATAAGACACTAGTGTTTCTAAACTCAAACTCATATTTGTTATATGTATGTATTTTATGTGTACACCACATTTAATCTATTCTTTATCTTTACCTTTCTCTGCCCTTTCCTTAGTGGTTCTCATATAGAAAATTGGCACTCTGTTCTGAGAAATGGACTCGTCAATGCCTCTTATACTAAACTGCAGGTATGTAAGTCGGATATGTAAAGCCATCATATTTATCACATCTTGTTGCATCTGTTATGAGGTTTAAGCACTCTAAAGTAACATAACAACATCTAAGCACTTTTCTACAGTTTGAGAAATGAAGACAAAGTTGTAGTATGTGCTGATATGAGGAGCCTATGAGGCCAAGGTTACTATTTAAGGCTATTTTGGTACTCCGAATTAGTACATCTGCTGTGCTGCGCCAGGACATTTATGAAAAGTCAGTTCATTTTATTGCACTAAACTTTACGCTCTCTCATAAATGAAACTTGACATCTTAGCAGCAGATTGTTAGCAGTTTTGTGAAGGATAAAAACACGACTGAACTGTCTCATTTGCACAACAGAACTGATAATGATTGCTGGAAGACACGATGACACTGTCTGAAAATAGATTAAACACACAATTAAGTCTGAAAGCTTTGAAATGTCTCACCTCAGCTTGGATTACTCTCCCCAGCGATGTGATTCATTTATATCTTCTTTGTTCCCCAACTTTTTGAACTGTCAATGTTTGATCCGGTCTGGGTGTTCATCTGCCTGCTCATTCGCCTTTCCCTTTTCACCTTGAGCTCAGACACCCGCGCTACACCTCTGTCATTGTGTTATTGAAGGAGCCAGTCTGCCTTCAGCTCCAGCCATCACACAGACTCTCCAGTCCCTTATTACTTTTGATTCCATCCAGATGTGCCACAATGTGATCTCACACTTTTATTCCCTGTATCTCAAGTTGCTCTTTGTTCTCCCTCCCTTGGTCACGTTTCATGCACCATGACTTCTTTGTGAATCTTGCCCTTTCCACGCTCAGAACTTTTTGGAGTCTTAAAGATTAATGTTCATCTTGCTTCACCCCATCTCCAAATCATTACCAAATCTCGCCTTTTGATTTTTAAAAATATATATTAAGTCAACGTTTCATCAGTCCTCTCAGAGCACTATTGAACTTTTTTCTTCAAAGAGGGATATATATTGTCTGTCTGTTGCCTAGCTAGCACAATGTGCTTACTTTATTGCACTGTACATTTGCTCTACAATTAACATTTTTTTTATTATCAACTGGATTGATTCATTCAACAATAATAAATAAATAACATTGTCATGAACACCTTACAAGCCAGTCTTCACTTCTCTTCGTGTATCTGTGAAATTATAAATAATGAGCCACTATTGAAGTACAGTTCAATAGCGCTGTGATGAGAAGAAACATTTAGTTGAAATTTTTTCTAATGTGCATTGCAAGGAAATTGTTTCTTTGTATATAAAGATTTCAGTCTTATGCGTCCGGTGGTGTTTTTCAAATGGTCAGTGACACTTCCCTCTTGCTCTTTTGAACCCAAGCTGCATGGGGCAGCCTATGGAAAGGGCATCTATCTAAGCCCCATCTCCAGCATATCTTTTGGATACTCAGGTATGAATGGTTTGTCCTCACCACTGGACCCTACGTGAGTCTCTTCAGCTCCTCCATGGCACTGTCATGTATCATGTGGATTGAGTATGCTTTGTTTGTCACATGCTTTGGTCTTCATGCTGGGATGTTCCATCTCCACATGTGGGCTCTCTCCATGGTCTAACCTGTTGTGCTGCATTTTATTATGTGTCCATGTTGGGTGCAGGTCTGTTCAATGAGCTCTACCCTGCCTACCATCATACTTTGTGTTGTGGCTGCAAACATATGTGGTTTTGTTGTTCAACTATTCTGTATGATGTCATTTCTTTTCTTTTTATTATTTATCATAATACTTGTGAAAGTCCCCATAACATTGTGCATTTTATGCAACCCCCCATTACATACAAAAATACATTATTTTTACTTATCTAAAAAAAATATGGCTGATCCAATTCATGAATAATTCAGTTATGTTTTCATAGTATGGCAATATTTAGACTACATGCTACAGATTTAGTGGTTAGTGTTAATGTAACTGCGTGTTTAAGACACATTTCCATCAAGCCAAATAAAGCAATCTTGAATACTGAGACATGAAAGTTGCATATTTGTAAATCTTTGCATACCATTATCAATATGAACTTTCTGTGGTGGAGTATTCATAAAATGTTTATCTTACATTCAGTATCCATCACATGCTGGTGAGTACTGCTAAACCCTTGGTTAATCTATTTATAATAGACCTACTGGGAAGACTATAGCATTAAAGCCAAGTTGCTGTTAGTACATCTTTTTTTTTGTGTGCAGGAATGGGGAAAGGACAACACCGTATGCCCACCAAAGATGAGCTAGTGCAGCGATACAACCGAATGAACACCATACCACAGGTTATAAGATTCACACAGAATAATTACTTTATATTTATTAGTAATCAAGTAAATGCTGTATGTATTTGGGGAAAACCATTCATATCTATAATTCTGTGTGTTTTAGAATTTTTGTTTTTGTTTTAAACAGAGTCGTCCAATACAATCAAGATTTCTGCAAAGTAGAAATCTAAATTGCATTGCCCTGTGTGAAGGTAAAAAAAAAATAAAAATCTGAAGACACACTGGACAGATAGTACTTACTACTAGAAATGTCATGTTTGTTGCTCCCTTTCTACAGTAATCACATCTAAAGACCTACAGAAACATGGAAATATCTGGGTGTGTCCAGTCTCTGACCATGTGTGCACTCGGTTCTTTTTTGTGTGAGTATTAAAAGCACATATCCTAGATTACTTTTACTTACATATGCTAAAATGTTTTTTTTTTATTATTATTTAATCCTCTCTGTATGCAGGTATGAGGATGGACAGGTGGGAGATGCCAATATCAACACCCAAGAGCCTAAGGTGCAGAAGGAGATTATGCGTGTGATTGGGACTCAGATCTACTCCAGCTAATAAACACAAGTTGGATCGTAGGTTGGCTTGGTTGAGAGGCACAGACAGGCAAAGTGGCTCATTCTTCACTATTCCATATGGTAGATTTATTTCAACATCTGATAATGTCTATACATACTCACTGAATATTTAACAACAAAATTACAAGAATGCAGAAAACACCAAAATATCAAATCTTGTATTGTAGTGTTATTTTTCTGAATAAGAATGACAATTTACATATCTTTTATACTGCATAACACTACTTTTACTTGTTATCTGCTAGGTTTCTCAACAAATTTTGATCAATCAACTCAATCATTCTTATAATATTTTGATAATGTACAACGTAATATTATTCATTTTCAACCAGTCAATATAATTGAAGCTGTTTCCTATTTTCAACTGACTGTTAGTTTATGCACTACATTCCCAATGAATTCGCACCTTACAAGATGTACATAATGTTAAGTCTATCTGCAGAGAGGTTAAGGTCTAAGTGAGCCCCCATTGGTCCTGTACTGACCTGCATATTACCGAGGGAAATTTACTGCTCCTCTGTTTTCACCTTGGAGAATGACGACCTTGTATAGCTAATCATGCTCATCAGTTAGTCATGTACTTTATGTATGTACGTGTGGGTTTGTATTCTCTCAACATTATACTAGACATTGCACTTATTCTGCATATGCCTGAATTGGGATAATGGACTTTCCTTGGATATGCAGTAAATTAGAAGGCAAGAAAGTGCTGTGAAACATCTTGACTGATGTGAGCTGGAATCAACTTCTGGGACAATTTGACTGATGAATGGACTGTGGAGCACTCAAAGACAGTGATTTGTATATAAAGACATTGGAGACCATTATGAAATGTATTGCTCAGAAAAGGTGCACATGTACAGACGACTCATTGTTGTGAGAGCCAACGCCAGAACTGAAAGCTGCAAGTGTCTTTGAGAATCTTTTCCTTTTGCTGACTGTCTCTGGCGAGTAGCGTTTTCAAAGATGATGTTGACGATAATGATTGCAATTATAATGATGATGAAGATGAAAGGAGCTGATGTTGAGGGAAAAAAAAGAATAAAGCTTGATTTTGCACAGTTTTACACACAAACTCCGTCCCTTTGATGCCTCTGTGGAAATTGGTATCATCACCAAAATGTTAGAACCCTTTTGTGTCTGGAGCTGGGAAATGTAATAACATGGTGAACAGAAGGGGGCAGTAGTATTCCACAAACATACTGCAGAGGCAACCAGGGAACATAACGTAATGTTTCTTAGTGTATGTATATTTGATGTCTTTTAAGAATATGTAATAGTCATTTTTATCTAAAAGATGACGCTACATAATGGATGTATTTTCTAACTTAATTTTAATCAACAAACCAACAGGCAATGTGAGCCTAAGAAGACCTTGGTGCGTAGCCTCACCCTTATAAAAAGAGTAGCCAACCACACTTGTCTTTTATTACAAGAAGCATTAACACAATGTCTATACATAACGTAAACACTGTTTATTTTCCCTTAGACAAACCGGAGAGGGCATAGAGCTCTGTTGCTCTTGACTGACCTGTCCTGAACTGCACTATTTTTCTATTATTTTCTATTAAAAGAGGGCCCCATGTGAGCCTTCTTGCCTAGGTCCCCATAATTCTCTTGACAGCCCAGCAAACAACCTGCCACAGAATTCAACCAAATCTGCCACTATACTGTCAACAGCCTCTGCAGATGTCTGTGGATGAGGAGCAGATGATGTGCAAGGTTCACTGCAGCTATGATCTCTGAAACCCGACACTTATGTTGGACACAGTCTTCTGGTTTGGCTCGGTCCCCTTTACCCAAAGCCAGCTGGCCCGAGGCAAACTGTTGTACTGGAATCACAAAAACTGTACAGCGCCATTCACCAGTGGGGGGAGCTCTTGCGTTGCATAGTCCTTCGTACATAGATAGGGCCATGGCTACCTATATGCAGACTCACAAACAGATAAACAACACATAGCGGTTGTTTGGCCAGATAAAGAGTACTGACAGGGGGGCAGGGGGGTCACAGCGGGTGGCTGGCTTTCGGCGGAAGTCACTGTTCATGGCCACCACCACCTCCGCAGTCTTGGTAATAAGTGGGACCTGCTTGATTCCTGCCGAAAAAGGAGCAATTATGGGGAGTCCTTTAATCACCCACACTTTTATTGAGCTCGGGGTCTCTTAGCTTGCAGCTCAGGCCCCCGATGGCGTTGGTAAGGAAGGTAGCGGGCGAAGGGAGTGACAGAGAAGGTCGGTGGTTTAACAGGGCGAGAAGGGGTCTCGTTTGAATTAAGGCTATTCGGTACGCCGCCTGAGCCCCTGCGGGACAGAGACAAAGAGGTGGAGAGGACCGCGAGACAGCCACACCACTGAGGCGGAGAGATAGATGGACTTAAAAGGGGAGAGACGGGAGGACTAGAGGGCAAGAGTTTGGGGGACACATCAGAATAAGAATCATTTTCAGCCCAAGTAAGATAAATCTGTTGAATTTCCAAGAGGAGAGAACATTTGCAAAAAAAAAAAAAAAAAAAAAAAATGCTTTCAGAAACAAGATGGCGGCACTTGTTGAACTATAGCTTTGGATTGCAGGACATTAGATGAATGCCTTGAGATAGGCCTATAGCCAACTGTAAGAACAAAGCATAAACCCATTTATTAGGCCTTAACGTCTTGATCTGATCTTTAAAATCAAACACATTTTTCAAGATGTTGTCTCTCTTAGAATGAAAAACGTGTTACAGAATATGAGCCTACTCACTATCTGAGGACCAACACCACAGCAGCAAAACTAGGCTACAATAGAATAGTCTGTGTTTTTTGATACAGTGAAGAAAGAGTCTGTACCCAGATCAGATGTATCAATAAATTCTCTAAAGTTAAGGAGTATATGCTTTATTATGACAGATTTTCAATACTTTTTCTAAAGAATCTCTTTAATCATAGCCTATAGAAAATCACCTAAAATGTAATTTTGCCAATCACAGAAATTTACTGAAATATATTTTTCTTGACTTTATTTATAAAAGTAAAGACCTTATCACACTTTCTCTCATTCAGTTAATCAACATACTTTTCATAGTACGTTTTTGGCACAAGGTTATGCAGATGCAATCAGGGGAAATGAGCAAATCCCTTAATCATTCATGTAAAATTTTGGTCTAATAAACCAGTGTCCATGAAGGTCCTGCAACCCACTCCATCAGGATGCCATTTATGTGAGTCTGGGCTGCTAGTGTTTGGAATTTTGAGCTGTCCGCTGGTATCTTTTCATGCACCACTGGCCTTGATTTGATCTTCATTGCATGAAGTCTTGGTCCTGGTACACTCTGTTCTCATCCATGACTTACCTCAGCTATTGCAGCCAGGAGCACCACACCAGTGGACAATCTGCAAGTGGGACTGACATTCACACTGCTTTTATTCTTTTTTTCCTTTTTTTTTTTTTTTTTTTTTTTTTTTTTTTAAACAAATGGCCTATGTGTGAGAAAGACAACCGAATTTGATTTTCCTACTTTACAGTCCGCCCAGAGCCACAGTCAGCCAGAGCGCCCATTCAAAACAGTACTGTCAGTGCGCTTTTTATTGAATTTTCAGCTGGGTGTTGCTTGCATGTGTGTCTATGTGTATGGCCTCTTCTTTCGCCTCTTCCCTGGATATGAATGATGGAGTACAAGTCCTTGTCCAGTCCCTCCGAGATAGTGGAGTGCAAGGAAAAGGCAGTGGGCGGCAGTGATGTTGTTTTGCAGTAATCTGGTGCAAATGTATAGGAAGTTTGTGCACTACAGTTCAAACTTTGAACATGCTTTTTCAGATGTTATCGTTTGAAGACATAAAGACAAACTGAAAGGCTATAAAGAAAGAATTAATTAAAAGGCCTGTATTACACTATTTTCTGATCTATGTTATAACGTTTCCTCAGGGGTTATGTTTTGTTTTATTTAGACATGTTTAACACACGAGCCCAGCACATTTAGTCTTTCTGAAAACCTTTGTGATGTCATGTGGCAATACAGGAAGTGCTCCCCACTTTTTAAACCCCATGCACCTTCACTAGAATCATTTGGATAATTTCAGCCTTGGGAGGCAAAAGGTGTTAACTTGAAAACTACTGTTTTGACACCAAAGTAGAGCAAAGCATTTTGAGCTTTGGAGACGTAGACACACCAATACTGCAGACTTGATGATACAAAACACAAATCCAGGTATGTTTTTGAGGAGATAACCTTCTAACATGACATACAACTAACAAGAGTTAATTTTGTGTAATATAGGACCTTTAAGTATGAATTTCACATGATTTCTTTTGGAAGAATGACATCACAGAATGGTGAGGTTTATTGGACGACAGCACACAGTGGTCTAGTTTACTAAAATTGCCTGTGAAATGTTCAGATTATTGGAATGTTTGAGTGATCTCTGTATTTGGCAATTTTATGTCAGATGTCTTTTAAAGTTTGTTAGCTTGGAAAAGAATCAAGTGCTACACCTCTTGTATGTCATGTCCTGTATATTGACCGAGCTGGGATAAGAACAGCTTAATGTGATGGTGATGTGATGAAGAATGCATAGACAGAAGCAGATTTAAGAGAGGCAGAGGATGAGGGGTGTAGGGAGGAAGAGCGTACACCATGGCTGCTCATAAAGCCAACAGCTGTGTGGGTAATGTTTTGTGACACCAAGCCACTCTGAGCCCTTCTGTTTGCCAGAGAGCGAGGGAGCCGCCATATTCCTTCGTCACAAATGGCTCTGTCATTCACCCCCTAAGTCTTAATTATCGCTCCCGGTTTTTTGGCCACATTTTGCCCAGGCGTATGGATCCATCTGCACGCTGTATAATTCCACTCCGCAATTTACAAGTGGCATTTATTACAATGGCCTATGTGGCATATCCTCTTTAACACCAGCAGCCTTTTCAGAGAGACGAGGGGGGACAAAAGAGCAACGCAATCTGGCAGCAACAGTGCCCACTCCGCTCCTCTCCATAGTCTCTGTCTTTTTTCCCATCTGTACTCCAGCTCTCTGTGCGACTCCAGATTTCCACCCCGTACTACTAATTTTCTGCTTATACTTGTGAGTTTTGCCCCTTTGTTGTTAATTTAATTTTTATGGAATTCGCAGTACTCGCACAAGCCGCCCCCTATCTGCCTCCAAGCAGAGGAAAAGGAAATAGCTGATGTTGATTCCCCACCCCCTCTCCCTCTCTTCTTCCACTACTCACCCCTTTGTAATTCATTTTGGATTAATTCCCCCTGTCTACAGAGACAATCCTAATTCTTTATTATTTCCACTTCACAGACTTGATGACATCCCCATATCCACATATCATATCCAGGGGAAACTTTACACCCGCTAGACTTTCTTGTTTTTGTCTTCCTGTCTCCTTCCTCCTCACACACGTGGCACCTCTTTCAGTTCCTTTCTTTCTATTTTCCATGTCTGTCTCTTTGTACTGTCATTACATTCATCTAGACATGTTCACTTGTTGGGCTTTTATTATTCACCAAAACAAAGTTTCCCACTGAGCTGCTGGTCTCCCATCTGCAGTGATCGGCACCCAGCTGAAGTCAGCTGTCTGGTGCCCACATATTTCCACAACATTGTGCCCATATTTTACACGCAGCGATAGCCATGATAGATTCTGCTCAATGCTCACTGCTCAGGCAATAATATTTTGGCAAATTTACTTACTAGTTAACATGTCATTATGTTAGGGACTGGGTGATATGACAGTAAATATGTCATTTGTTTTTCCTCATATTGATCAGTCAAGATTTTTTGTTAGATTTTTCCTGTTTTTTAAAAACACAAAAATGACATTTAGTGATAATTTCCAGAATATAACTGACTTTTAATAATTGCCATTTAAAAGTATTGTTCCAGACTACTTCAATGTTCTACAGTATGCCAGTGCACTAATAAATCTTGCTGTGTTTACGCTGTTTCCCTCAGTGTGTTGCCACTCCACAGTTCTGACATGTAAGTTGGATTGCTAGTGTCACCTTCAGACAAAGGGTTAGAAGAAGAAAAAATTCAAAACCCAATGGCTAAAACCGATTGTATTACTGATCCGCTTCATACTTGCCACACG